TTTTACCACTACAAAAGAGTCACAGAGGACAGGGTGACTAAATCAGAAGCCTGGAAGGCTTTGAAGGTGACTTAAAAATAAATCTCACTGTGGGATAGTGGGGCAAATGAAAGGTGAATCAAATGCCCCATGGTAACCACTGGAGTAAGGGGGGTGAGCAGAGGATGGATGTTACCACCTTTACTGCCTCAAAGGCACCTGGGGTTATGGGACTAGGGGCAGAGGGCTTCGCCATTAGTCCTTGAACCCAGGTTTCTGAATTTGGTGGGGGTTGGGGATCAACTACATGCCTTTGTTTATGCAGAGCCTCCCACCAAGTCCCATCCTGTGTGTTCTAGTTGCAACTCAAGTTTCAAGCTCCAGTCAAGTCATTACCTCCTTCTAGAAGCTTCCAAAACTCTTCATACCCCATGTGGGGATCATGAGGTGCCCCCTCCATGTTCCACTAACACCTCTTCCTGGCACTTGTCACAAGAACCCAAACTGACATTCACTGTTTCTCTGGCATCTCCTGCATGCTCTGTGAGATAGAAAGGCATTGACTAAATCAAATAAATTGAAAAAGAGTGACAATCTGAGGCCAGTTCTCTACAGCCCCCAAAATATAGTTATATAAAAACAAATAACCAGGAAACCAAACCTGACAGGGTAGTGGGGTGGTCAGGAGGGCTTCCTGGAGGTGGTATAGATCAAGATCTGAAATAGAAATAGAAATTACTTCTCTTGGCTTCAGTTTCTCCAACTCTAAAGAAGAAAGAGCCTGTGTGGCAAACATAACTGCCCCTATAGAGCTGTCTTGGAGAATAAGTTATGAACAGATGGAAGGAAAAGGTACAGGGAAAAGAGCTATATTTTAAAAGCTGGTGGCTTTGAATTTTTTAACTTGTTATGGGTAAGGCAGGGAGGAGGTGAGGGTTGGGAGAGGCTGGAATTGGGACAGTGATGGTGGTGAGGATGGTAGTATTTTGGGAAGATTAAGGCACAGATGCAAATAGATGGGGGCAGGGGAAGGGATGATGCCATCCTGCCAGCTGTGGCTGTTCCCATGGTATGGGTCAATCTTCCTTTCCTTCTGAATCCCATCCTTCTCCCTCTCTGTATCCTGAGATGCTCACAGGTATCATTCTTTCTGCCTAACCCACAGGGTTCCCATTGCCTGGCCTTCCTCATGCAGTCCATTCACTTGATCTCCTCACTCCTGTCTGTCTCCATCTCTATATGAATTCCCCACCCACACCATCTCCTTATTCTTCTCTTGAGCTCCCTACCCCTAGTTGATAGAAGGGTTTTTATTACTATGTCTATCTCATTACAAGTTATTTTTATTTCCTCTCGATTCAATTTTGTCAGATCATATATATCTAGAAATGTATCCATTTCTTCTTCTTCTTCTTCTTCTTTTTTTTTTTCACTGTATTGGAGTACACGTTTTCAAAATAGTCCCTAATGATCTGCTGGATTTCTGTGCTATCTATGGTGATATCTTGTTTCTCTTCTTTGCGATACACATGGCCCCAAAGGCAGATATGAGATACTAGAGCTAGTCTGGGCCCTTTTTCATCTCTAATTTTATAAACTTGGCTTTTTCTCTGTTTTTCTCTTGGTTATGTTTGCATGGGGGCTTATCAATCTTGTTTATCTTTTACAAGAAACAATTCTGTTTCATTGATCCTTTGTACTGTTATTTTTATTCTCAATTTCATTAATTTTGGCTGGTCTCAATTGTTTTCTTTCTTCACTGTTTGCTCCTCCATAATAGCCTAGCTTTTAAACCATTTCCCATTTATACTGTGAATAATGTGGGCTTCCTCACTAGAGGGCGCTAAAGGGATATTGCAGGAAGAAGAGGCCTCTTATGGTTAAGCTGCTGCAACATTGCTCTGTGATGCTGGTATGAGTCTGTGCCATAATAGTATGGATCAAGTGATGGGATTCCTCAGTTTCTGAGGAAGGCTTTGTTCTCCAGGAAAAATTTCCCAACTCTTTCCAAGTTAATCTTAGGTGATGGTGCTGACATGGTAAATGGTCCAACTGTAGTGGGAGGCACCTGGCTCTGAATTTAGGACATGGTAGTCTCTGGCTCTACCCTTGCCCACATTCCTGTGCCTGTAGAGCTGAAACCCATTGAGTCTTTTATCTTGGGGAGAAATTGCTAGGATATAAAGAAAGGACCAGCACAGTTGGCTTCCCAGACTCTGTACTTGGCACAAAAAGGAAATGCATGGATTTTGTAAGGTGGCTCTTAGAGAAAGGCTTAGGCAGCCTACTTTTCTAAAATACCCCAATTTAGTAAAGGGTTAATCTAAGCAAGATCCATCACTGGGGTCTGTGGTCAGAGGTTAAGCTGCTGCTTTCTTGTTGTATACACTTGAAGAAACCCTTTCTTGGTTTACTTCATCTATGAAATTAAGAACTATGAGGGGGGAGGGTTCAGGAGGGTCATGTAACCAAAGACCTCAGCACAGCACCTAGAAAATAGCAGGTCCTTAATCTATTGTAATACCACAGTTAACAAGGACAACAAAGGTCTCCCCAAAAGCCTGCTTCCTCTGTTTACCTTCCCTTTCTTCTTACTCTCTGGTACCCCAGATCTGCCATCTTTCACATTCCCAGATCAAGCAAATGGCCAAAGCCCAAAGAACACCAAAGAGTTCTAAACTGCAAAGAAACTAGAGAGACCAGGCCAAGGGCCTGAGTGTATAGTGTTAAGGACCCCAACCACTGGGTCAAATAAGACCCCACCTCCTCTTAAACAGTTTTGAGGCAAAGCTGCCTAGGAAGTAGGTTGAAATGGGAGGCTGTGTCTGTGAGCCTCATGTTCACCCCAGGATCAGAGGTCAGGTGGTATGCGCCTGAACAGGGCTCACACCAGGTCCTGCAAGTGGGAAGGTTGGCTTAGGGCAGGATTTTCCTCCTGGACCCCACAGGAGTGGATCCTGACCTGGAAGAGGAGGATCTGGTGGCTGCTCCAGGGCTCCTGGTTCCAGAAGAGCCCTATCCAGATGAGAATGGGACCCTAAAGGCCAGTTTCCTCTTTAATGTGCACCCATGAGAGGCAGGGATGCCAGAGTGAGAGGCCAGGACACATGTGGAGCTATATGCATACTTGTTAATTGTGTTGCCTCAGGGTGGACTTGAGGGTTTCTTTGAGGGGGGGCCTTTTGGGACTTAAAGGAGTGACCCCTGTTGCTCCAAGATCATAGTTGTTTCATGTCCCATGTAAGGTGATCACTACAGGGATGGTATGTTTTGGGGGCTGTAGGTATTGAGACTCAAGGTGGCTCCTTCGTGCTATCTCATCCTTCTTGTTTTTCCTCTTTGAGATACACATAGCCCCAAAGGCAGATATGAGATCCTAGGGCTAGTCTGGGCCCCAAAACCCCATTGGTGGCAATGAGACAGATTGCAATTAGAGGCGATCTTTTTGGATGTGGTGCTAGCTCCCCCAAAAGAGCCTAAGAGTTTCTGCTTGGGCAGGCTCTGGGGGCAGCAGTGACTATAGGAACACCAGTGGTTCTTTGCTCTGTTTTGTGCTTTGCTTTGTGTCTCTTACTCCTCATTGTGGTGCTCTGCCTAGGGGCACTGGAGTTGTTCTCTCCTAAGCTTATCCCATGTTGATGTCTGTTGCTTGTATTCCCTCCTCTCTGAGGGAAGATGCACATGGCCCCATGTCTCATATGAGATCTGGGAGCAAATCTAGACTCCAAGATCCCATTGATGTCACAGGACAAATGAGCAAATAGAGGTAGCCTTTCTTGGGTTGGTGCTGGTCCACCAATGTGAGCTTAGGGATTTCTGGGAGGGCAGACTTTGAGGGATGGCACTCAGGGTGGGAACACCAGTATTTCCTTGCACCTGTTTGCTCTTGGTCTGTGTTTCTTGGGCATCATGGTGATGCTCTGGCTAGGAGCAGTGTAGGTGTTCTGTCCCAAGTTTGCTTCATGGTGCTCTCTGGTTTTGGATTCCCCTACATTTTGAGTAAATTCCCATTACTGCTATGTGAGACATTGGACCTGGTGACAAGTCTGTCCTCCCAGTTGGCTTTGAGGTAACTGACACTGGCAGCCTTTAGTGGGATGAACCTTTTTGTCCCATGTTGACTGGAGCTGCCTGTTCTTTGGACAAACTCTGGCCACAGGCCCTGGCCTCGGGGTGGCAGCTACAGAGGCAGAGGCTGATGCACTAGATGCACAAGTGGGCCTGCAGCCTGTGTCTGGGAGCTGGCAAGGACACCCTTGGTGAGATTTCTATTTGTCAGCCATAAGGGCTGAGAGGTTTGGGCTGTCCAAGGTTGTGGGGCCTGCTGTCAAGGATGGGAATGGTACTTCTCCTAGATCTGGAACTCCCAGGTATCCAAACTGCTGACAGCTGGTGAAGATGGGGGCTCTGAGCTTCTTCCCATCAGGAACTCCAGGGATTGGTGGGATGGTGGCTCTAAGGATGTGAGATGGCTTCCCGTGTGGAGTGTGTTGTTGTACCCTTAGAGCTGGCCAGCTGGATCTATATACAGGAGAAGCCTTGAGAATACTGTTGGGCTTTGGGCCCTGGTGAGTGGGAAGGAAGCTCATACCCAAGCTAGATGGAGGCCCCAGTTGGGGGGACTGTGAAGGCATAGTGGTGTTCAAGGTGATGAACCCAAAGGGGACCACTGGCTGTGGAGCCAAGCCTGCCAATATGCTGGGAGAAGGCCTGGGAGGAAGGGCCAAAGAAGCAATTGGCAGGCTGGGAAAGAAGGAGAGGCTAAGGTTGGAGGTGGGATGGTGTCTGTGGGAGGAAAGAGCACAGCCCACCCACCTTGGTGTGGAGGCTTCCATGGTGGCAGTGGTGGTGTGGTGGGGAAAGGTCTGGCTGAGGCCCAGTGATGCCAGAAGTCCTCCCCCTCACCATGTAGAGGGGCCCATGCATGGGCTTGTGGGGACATGGTTACAGCTGTCCCAGATGGTCTAGAACTTACCCATCAGAAGGCAGTTGATGTATATAGAACTTTCTCCTTCTCCCAGTCTAGGTTCTCAGCGGTGACTGGACAAGCCAGTTCTAGAGTTGGTGACAGCCTCAGAAATTTTCCTCAGTGGTGTGGCAGCAGAGGAAAATTTGTATCCGTGGCTTACCAGTGTCTGCTGTGGATGAGCACTTCTTCCTCGGTAATGGATGTCCTGCCCTGCCTTCTGCCACCTTCTTACACTGGACCTTCTTCAGGGGAATCCCTGCGTATGAAGAGCATCCCAGGGGTAACTCACAGTTGGATGGGACTGGAGCGCTCCTGTTCAGGGCTGGGAGACTTTAAGTGGAGCTATAGGAGCTGCTAATGACATTTCGCTTGAAACAGCAGGCCTGGGAGATCTCAGCTGTCTTGGGAGTTCTGGGTACAGAGGTTTCCCTGCAGAGCCCCAGGCCTGGGCACAAAGAAAGTCAGGTGACTGTGGGCCACCAGGATCCTAACACCAGTCACTGGAGTGGCACAATCTGCTTTTAGGATCCTGAAATCTAGCCAATGGCAGTGACATTAACTCATAATCCTATATATATATTTTCATGTGGAAATTTAAGTTTTTAGAAGTTTCTAAATAATACCTTAAAAGGAGTTGGGAGGCCCTTTGTACACATGATTTTTGACTAAGTGTACAATAAACTTTAACCCAGTTAGCTGAAGTACAATTGTAACATATTACTTGGAACAAAATGATCAGAAGGTTATCTAAATGTTTGTTAATATTCCAATTTTGGATAAAAGATATCCAAAATGAAGATAAGTGTGCTTAAATTTCAGGAGTGGAGCTAGCTGAATTGCATCCCAATAAGCCACATCTTTCTTGAGATAGCTCTAATTTCTATGCAGGTTCCACATAGCCTCACCCACTCTTCCCTGAGTTCCAGTGTCCAATTGCCAGACCTGTGGTGTTTCCTTACTGTTCTCCTATCAGACAAAAGGAAAACAGCATGTATTCCTTCTGCGTGTAAGAGTAGCAAGTAAAATGGCTTTGTGATTGTGAGAATTTTCTCCAAGGAGTGCCCTAAATTAAAAACACTATTGTAGAAAGTTTGTATTTCTTTCTTTTCTCCCATTTAATATCCAAGATGCAAAAAATACACCTAAAGATGCTAAGAAACCTTCATGATTTATTGTTTTTAATATAACAAAATAACATTATAATGGCAAAAGAATCTGCTTTATCCAATGTGTTTTGACATCTTCCATTTGAGAAGCTTGGATCCTAAGTCCCTGAAATTCTGAAGATTATGGAAATGTGAAATATGTTTTTAAAGTATGAATACTTCTTTATTTGGAAAGCTTACTGATATTTTTCAGGTATTCTGTAAACTCCATGAAACTGTATTCAAAGATAATGGAAGGTTTTGGAAGGTACATTTATAAGGTATTCCTGTTACTATGAAATTTACAAATATAAAATCAATAAAAAATATATTAGGTTCTGGATTCTGAAATGACTAACTCAATCTGTATGTTAAATGCTTGGTATTTAGTAGTAGAAAATAACTATCAGCAAATTGTTATTTTAGTTCATACTGACCTTTTAACATCTCAGTCTGTATTTCATGGTATCCACATCAGCCAAAATTTTGTCCTCTTTTAGTGACTTTTATTTCTCTAATTTTTCTGCTTTCTGAAAAGCTAGAATAATAAGAATATGTGATATTTTACCTTACATTCTTTTTATTTAAATAAATCACATTATTTTTTAAAAATAGTTTATTTTATTTTTATGTGGTGCTAAGGATTGAACCCATTACCTCATGCATGCTAGGCAAGTGTTCTACCACTGAGCCACAACCCCAGCCCATACCTTACAATCTTACCTTATGTAGATTGCACGTGTGTGACTCTGCATCATGTAGAGCAAATGAGAAGTTGTGCTCATTTGTGTACAGTAAGTTGACATTCATTCTGCTTCATGTATAACTACTTAGAATAAATAATTTTTAAAAGAAAATAACCATTATTCTTCCTAAGAAACTAATGGGAAGGTAACATCATAAAGAAAATTTATGCAGTCTTAAATACTCTTTTTTTTTCATTTGACCATATACTTTATAGTCTATGTCTCACAACAATGTGTGTATGTATGTGTATAATTAATATATATCTATAATTAATCACTCTATACAAAACTGCAGTCTTCTGTCCAAGGCTTTTCTCTGCTTAACTTTTCTTTTTTTTT